TTAGATCTAATGAGCCTCCTGTGTTTTACTGTATGTGTGTTTTTCTGTATATATTACTATATGTGTATATTCTAGATTCTAATCAGTCACATCAAAGTTAAAGAGCAAAAGAGATCAATCAAGACAACTTTACAGTCCTGTAGGTTGTAGGTCATTTTTAATATTAATGATTTATTACTATGCGATAAGTCAAGATTATTTTTGTGTACTCTTCTGCCCCCTGTTATCAGGTGTATCTGATTGTATACAATAGGATTTTTAGAAAAGTTTTTACCACTAAATTATGCAAAAGGTATAAGACGCAAAACATTTCAGAAACCTTACTGTATGTATCAAATATGATACGTTTGGCATTACAGGGTTAACCTTACATCCAGCTATGCCCACAGCTGACCTATGCTGCATCTAGTCAATATAAATTCAAAGTCGGGAATTTTCTTACCCCCCAATTTCATACATTCGACAGGTTGATAGTTGACACAGATTTGATGCACATACTGTATTAAGACGAATAATGAAACAAAAACAGAGAGAAGGAAAAGAAACACTTTACGGTTGGGAAATCGTTGCCAACAAGGGTGTTTTGCTTTATTGGCAATTGATGTGTTGTATTTCCCTTTAAGAGTTATTTTCATTTCTTAGCAACCCTACATTATGATGAGTGCATTCCTTTTCAGTGAAATAGGGTGATCACGCCCTCATTGAGAACAGCGTTTTATGTTAGCGCACACATACTCCAATTAAGTTAGCGCAGGTTCAACAAATCAGCCTCAAAACCAGCTTCATAGTACTGTGTATGTACACAGTACATACACAGTACTATGTGTAGACACAGTGTATGTACACGGTACATTCACATCTGGATTCCTGGGTTTGTCAACCCTGGTTTAGAGGGGTAACCCTGGGTTACATCTGAGCAAGTTGATCGTAGTACAGGCCCCAGGTGGAGAGATACTGTTTGTGCTTCATGATAAGAGTATTTCAGTGGGATTGATAGCAGTTAGATATGATAATTAAATTTAACCACTTTGTCAGTGTATTAGGTCTGGTCTGCATCCCAGAGTGGAGCCTGACTACAGCATCTTATACATTGTGTTTCCAAGCAAATTTAGTTTGTTATTTAAAAATGTGGACCATATGCTTGTGTCAGCCACAAAGCAGATACAGAATTTTATTTGATAAACTGTGTGGTTAATGACGCCAATGTAGCTCTGTGGTGGCACCACATGAGTGCCCAGTACCCACTCTCAGAGGAAAATGTAATCACAGGGGCCACCATTCAGATCAAAGCTTTTTTTTTTTTTATCAAGTCAAAACTGTGGCCTACACGCAAAAAAGCTTTCCCAACAATTAGGCTGTTAGCTGGCTGTCTCACACATTTTTCTTGAACCTTGATTGAATGTTAGGAACAGTGTCTGCACAAATAACAAAGAGAGCTGCAGGATCACACACTGTTATAACATGTTGTATAAAGTGATGTAGATCTGTTTTGCGCGTTTTGTTGAACAGGTTATTGTTTGGATTTGATCATGCACATGCAGCCCATCAAATCCTACCTAAACACAAACTCAAAGGTCCCCATTTCGCCTACAACGTGTAAACACTGTTCCTATAGCCCCAAAAGTACTACTCCAGCACTTTGTGGTTAACACACCTACAACCCTGTTACTTAAACCGAAAGTGTGCTTGAAAAGATCTGAATCGGGGAACTAACTGACATGGCTGATAAGGAAGCCTCATCTACAACGTGTTAATTCATCTCGCAAACAAGATGTCTGGGGTGCCTGATGGATCCACTGTCCCCAAAAATTGAATAGCCTGAGATAAGGGGCCTGGAACGGGAGTGTCTACCCAGTCATTGTCTGGAGCCGCTATCACAAAAGCGTTAACGTCCGGGGGGATCGACAACAGGAAGGGCTAAGACTGTGGGGGCTTTGTCAGGAGAGGCCATGCCTGGATGGACAGAGTCGGGAGGAGTCACAACCATGTACAGGGGTGAAGCTACGGGGCGATGTCGTGGGGCTTCCACATTATCCACTGTTATGGACAATATTATGGACAGGGATCAGGGGACTGACGGGACTTGTTTTGTGAGAATCGTGAAAGAGTCAGACTAAGTGGCAGCAGACCCCTCACCAAGAGTCATCATCTTCTGAATGGATTCCGACATTACTGGTCCAAATTTGCCAGTTGACTGTGTGGGTGGGGCGGCACGGTGGTGTGGTGGTTAGCACTGTTGCCTCCCAGCAAGAGGGTTCTGGGTTCTGGGTTCGAATCCTGGGTGAACCAGGACCTTTCTGGGTGGAGTTTGCACTCACAGGAGTGAATGTGACTGTGAGTGGTTGTTTGTCCTTGTATGTCCTGTGTGTGGCCCTGCGATGGACTGGCGGACTGTCCAGGGTGTACCCTGCCTCTCGCCCGTTGACCACTGGGATAGGCTTCAGTTCCCCCCGCGACCCCATGAGGGAATAAGCGGTGTGGGTTGCACTGTCCTCCTGAGAAAGCACAATCTTCAAAACAGTGTATTTGAAGGTACACTGCATACTCAGGCATACTTAATACTGTTTGCATCGAGTTTTACAAACCAGAACACTTGTGATGCATCCAACTTGGTAAAATAACTTGCTCCAGCCATCTCACTGATTATTTCTTCATGAGTGGGTATCTGATAATCTTCATGCATGATGTTCTCATTTAAGTCTTTTGGATCCATGCATATCCTTAACTCTGCAGTCTGCTTCTTTGTCACCATTATTGAATTAACCCAAGGGCTCTTCTGTAATGGTTAGAGATGGGTTTGAGATCGTGAAAAAGAAAAAACATAAGCAAAATCAAATAATTTTTTATTACCATTTGGCAATACTTTTAGCATTTGGGGAATTTCCAGGATGATGGTACGGTTAATCGGGAATAAGATGTACTAATAGCCCATCTAGCGATCAACGATTCATTATCCTGGTTTTGCAAGCCCAAAACATAAAATGATACAGTAAAAAGATACATACATTTAAATAAGTTTATCTACAAAAATTTTTACAAAATTTGTATTCAATAGTATTTGGAAAACAGCTAATTTTCATCCGGGTCTGTTTCATCATTCCCCATTACAGGTCAAACTTTGACATTCACAAGTTTTGTTAGATATATTTGTGTGTAACCAGTTCTCTTCTGCATTTTGGTGGCAGTTGTAATGATTTCCCCATGACACAGCTTGCCTTAAAAGATGGTCACTTCTTTGTTTATTTTGACAAGAACAATGAACTAAAAAATATTCAAACTATGGGCTGCCCACTCCAAAACTTCTCCCACATTATGGGATTGATATATTTATGTGCATAATAATTCATCTACTGGGTCACCAAACTTTATATATTTAAACAGCTACACATATACACTGAAATGCATTCTTTAATGCAGTATAAAAACCTGAATTAACTCGTTTCTTTTTATGAAAAAATATTAACCTTTTTTGTTATTTGACCCTGCTCTTTTGTGATGTCCCCCATGACCATGATGAAGCTTCACATTAAAAATACCAACAAAACTATTTCAAAAGTTAATACATTTTTACATCAATCTCAATATCTATTTATGCTCTTTTGCTGGTATTATTAAATATCAATTTAAGATAACATTACTTCTGTCCCTGAGCCAACCCTCAAGCACAAATTATCTCACCCTCAAAAACAGAATGGTATGATCCATAACTGTAAATACATCATGAAGTGACAACACAAGTCTCTTGAACAACTGGAGCAAAGAGACAAGCAAGTCGCTACCATATTTTCCTCCAATTTGGTAATTTATCTTGTGATATTGTGGTCGTCAAACTAAATGACTCAACTCTATTACATAAAAAGAAGATAGAAAACTACTACTTATGAAAAACTTTTTTGTTATTGTAAGAACATGTGTGAATTCTGAATTTTATGCATACCATGTGTTCTCTTTCTTGCATTCGCTACATTGAGTAATGGCCTTTTTGTGCAAAAATTCAACCCCTTCACATTCAACCCCATTATTTGTTTGATTGTAACAGAGTTGTGAGATTGTGACGTGGTTGAGATTTTAGTACTTTGGTTGTTTAGTTATCGAATTGTTTGGATTGTTTATTATCATATTTTATCAAAAAGTTTATGCTGTTTGAATGTTGAATGTGATCTATGTTCCATGTTAAAGCTGTGATTAAGATGGCACCAACAACAGCAGCAGAAAGGCAGAGAATGTATCGGGAACATCTTAAAGCTGATCCTGACAGAAGCGAGTGATACCTGCAGTGTGAGCGTGAGAGATGGAGAAAGAATGTAGAGGCAGGGAAGAAAAAAGCAATGCAAGATTTGAGCGGAGAACAGCGTAGGAAAATGACACGATGGTACTCAGAACTCAGATGCGGAGATCGAGTAACAAAAGGTTTTATTAAACTCAAAACGCTCTCGCAAGGAATGGAACCAAAGTACAAATCAAAGGTCACTCAACAAGGATTGGTTTAGAAAAGTAACAAATCAAGATCACTCAAAAAACTAGGGTAGCAAAGGCACATAAATAAATAACAAAATAATACTCAAAAGGAGTCAGAACAAAACCAGGAGGACCAAAATCAAAATCACTCTTTCAAAGAAAACACAAGGTTCAAGGCAAGGATTAACTATGGCTTTGGTTGCTCAGTAGGACGTGGGATGAAACACACTGGCATAAGACAAGGGGACACGTTGACTATTTAACACTTGAGGGAAAGGGAACTCCAGATGAACACAATAGGTGATCAGGGAGACAATTGGACAGATGACACAGAGAGAAGTGCAAGTGACCTGAAACGAGATGAGGGTTACTTATCAAAATAAAACAGGGAATGACGAGACCCCATGGAGACAGGACAATAAAAACCCCAGCTTGATAACACCACTGTGACAGAAAAGAAGAATGTGGAGAGCAGCTTACCACAGGAGCAAGGAGAAGAAAGAAGAGCTCAAAAACTCCATCACAAAGTCCATATTAGGAAGATGGCCCAGAGCAGCCTTCACAGCAACGATGTTCAAGGTCAGGGCAATGGGTGGTTAACAGTGTTATAAATATATAATTGTATCCAATATCATTTTAGAAGGGCAGGAGAAAAAGATTACTTGACTTTCTATGCCCAGATCAACTTATTTTTTTGTTTTGTAGGCAATGTTCTATGGCTAGGAGAAAAGAGAAAAGAGAAAAAATAAGCCAGAGCCACATGGTGGAACTACAGAAAAAACTTGAAAAAGAAAGAAAAAGCTAAGAAAACACAAAAAATGTGCCAATATTCGGATTTACCATTTTAAAATAACATGGCTCACCCCGAATAAAAAAAAACTTACTTTACTATGACTCGCTCATTCAAGCAATAAGGAATAAATACAAAAAAGCCACCAAGGACAGAGAAAAGCAGCTGATTTCCAAAGTTCCTCCCTTGGATTTTCTATCAAGAAATTTAGAGATCATGACATTCTTAATTTTGAAAGACAGAGGACAAGCAGATTCACTGAAGACAAAAAAAAATCAAGTCATCCTCTCTCAGGGATGATGTGAGCAGAATGACCACTGTAACCAAATAGATACTCACAAAAACAAATTGAAAATGCAAATGAGGCTCCTATTGGATACATTATAAATTATCCACAAAAGATTTTTGGCAGAAAATCCAAAGCACCGGGTTCTCTCCGGGTTCTCCGGCTTCCTCCCACAGTCCAAAAACCTGCATGTTAGGCTGATTGGAGATTGGGGAAATTGCCCTTAGGAGTGAATGTGAGTGTGAGTGGTTGTTTGTCCTTGTATGTCCTGTGTGTGGCCCTGCGATGGACTGGCGGACTGTCCAGGGTGTACCCTGCCTCTCGACCGTTGCCCACTGGGATAGGCTCCAGTTCCCCCCGCGACCCCATCAGGGAATAAGCGGTATTGATAATGGATGGATGTAATCCAAAGCAAATGATATCCTTCTCCCTTTTCTGTCATATTCACCCCTTTTGGGTTGTAAATCCAACACTCTCTGGTGTAAGTTGCATGAAAACTTCAGCTTTCTGGTAATGAATGAACCATCAGTTGAAACTTATTGAGAGTGCCGACATTGAGGAGTTGATAGAGAAGTTTCCTGCAACATTCAGCTAGAGCTGCATGTATGGAGAGTGTGTCCAGTGCAAGGACAAAACTCAATAGCACCTCAAACACATTTTACCCAGTGTTATAACAGAGGAGAAAGATATTGATGAAAAAGGAGAATAGACAACTGTCAAGGTGACAATCAAGAAATCTGTGGAAGGTACACAAGAGGACCTCATTGAGCTCTCCCATAGTTATGTAAAAAGATTTAAAAAGCATTACTTTAATATCAAGCAGCAGTATGCCTTTTGCCGTGAGCTGAGGAACAACATCTCAGAGGAAGAGGCTTCGCGGCATGTTGACTTTTAAAAAAACTACAATTGTAAATACAGTTCTCAGGTTCAGACGGTCCATTTTGGGGCTTCACATCATCAGCAGACCCCCCTAATAAAGGTGTGTTCTAAGCCTGTGTGCTTTAGCACCATTTGCCCAAGCAGGCATAAAAGCCCTCCAGCAATATGGCATCACCTAAATCCTTTGAAGGATTACTTCCAAGCCCAACATCCACAAGTGTCTGTGCTCTTTAAGCGATGGACCCTGTACGCGATATATACAATGAGGCTACCTTTACCTTTTCTCGAAAGAACTTTATTGGATTCATTATGGATGGATTTATTATGGATTTCTTTTTAGGCTAGTCATGGAAAAGGAATGCCTTGTGGTTTTGGGGGAGCCTCAAAAAGACAGCTGACAAGATTTAAAAACATGCAAAATCACCTTAACGTGGACACAAACACAAGCACTGATACAGACACATTAAAGACTTTCACTGTCTGATCATCACTGTTGTTGGTGTGAGTATATCAAATTACAAATGTAATTGTATATTTTGAATTAGGTAGAGGTTACTTTCAGCACATCTCCCACGAGGCTTTGATATGACTACAAACACACGCATACGCATGCCCACACACACAGTTCACATTATGTTGCATTTAAGCATTACACTTCATGGTTTGCTGTTGTTAATATGCTGTTCTGTTTTATCTTTTTTTTTACTGAAGAGTAATGAAGCTCAATTCAACAGCAATTTGTATCTGGTGTCCTTGCTATTGTTGCAAAATTAAATACAGTTCATTGCCAACAAAAAGTGATATGTTGGTAAATATGTAAATTGAATTTGTCCCTACAACCCTGTTATACTAGTCTCATCTTGTAAAGGGATGCCGTAGATTCCAAATAAACATGTCAATTTATATTAAGATCTGACAAGTACAACATTATATAAACGTTTATTGGCCAGCTAAATGGCATTTTGAAAAGATTTTTTAGAATTTTCTAATAGATATCTAGAGTTCTCCTATTATAAAAACTGTGCATAGTCAGAACTAATATTTTGTTTTTTATGTACATTTTTTTAATCTGCATTTAAAAAAACCGTAAAACACTTGTACACCTTTCATGTATGGGTTAGAAAAAATATTTTGTTCTACTGCAGCACCCTCTAGTGGATATAAAATGTCATTAAATATTAGTGTGAAAAAAACGTGAAATCCACCATACACAGTGTTCGTGGGATAATAATCTTTTTAAGATAATATAAATGTAAATTCAGTGTCCTTCTTAGACTTAATATTATATCAAAGCCACTTTTACAAAGTGAAATATACAATTTTCTGATGTGGATGGCTTTTTTAGCCAGATGACCGATGAGTCAAATTAAATCTGTAAGTCAATGAAAGCTGTAAAAAGTGTCGAATGTATTTGCATTTGTATATATTTGCACCATTTTAATAATCTAATTCTGCCAATAATAGTATACTATTGTAACATATCAATCAACACTATTTCAAGAACTGGAAAAAAAAGTACTTTGCATGGAGAATCCATATATATATATACACATATACACATATTGGTACTTGCAGTTAAACACTGTTGTTTGCACTGCGAATCTGCTAAGAAAAAATGTAAAACATGTTGACCAACTTTATTTCTTTCCGTTTCAGTTGTAACCCAACACCAAATAGAATTTCTTCAACAAAATAGCTTTTTTAAATAGGAGGATAGAAGAAAACATGATTATATGTGCATTTGAACTTGTCTAAATGCCTCCAGCACATACAAACACTGCATTTTGTGCATGGGGGAGTACGGACTAAAGTCCAAAGGTCTGCATTTTACACCTTTACAATACAGTGAGTATGAGGTGTATAACATTCATTAGCTGGATTGACATGGTGATGCTTGGCTCACTATCTAATGATTATGCTTAACGTTGGGAGAATCACTAACTAAGCATCTGAGAATATAGTTTCACAATACAAGCCTCATCACTTTTTTATAATGCAGCTGACAGAGCAGCCAGTCAATGCTAGTATCTGTGTATTTTTGGTTGGGGGAAGATTCTGCTGAATAGAAGATCAATATCCAAAGTATTTTTCATAGTTTTAAGTCTTTGTGATATCATAATACTGATCCATCTTATCTGTTGGAAAATGTTTAAAGCAGTCCCATTCCACGATTTTGCCTATGGCCACATGGTCCATAAAATCATTTGTTCTGTAAAATAAAAACTGAAAGAGTCTTTAGCATGCAAAATAATACCGATGCATGAAAGCTCAAATACTGAAAATCAATTATCCATTTTACAAAAGAGACTTGTTTGTCCTGTGTGATTACTAACTCAGACATGTTCCAGGTAGGCACGGTCTGTACCAGAGGGGATCCTGCAACAACCTCACCGTTATCCAAACTAGCATACGTTATTCTTTTTATGCAAAAGCAATAACTTTGCAACTGATCTGAAGTAATCCTTTATTCTCTTTCAGGAACGATCACGTAGGGCAAAATGGGCTTCATTGAAATAACAAGCAAGCATACAACATCGAACATAGACTCAAAAGACTGTGCTCTGCTTTGAAGAGAACAAACACATTTGAGAAACTTTAATTCTTAAATTTTTTCCTTAGACATGTTGAGAGAAGAAAACAAATATCATTGCATACTCCAAAGAGTGCATCGTCTCCAGTGCATAACACTAATAAGCTCATGCTACTTGCCCAAGGTATCCCTTTTTTATTTTAGCAACTTTCAGACCCCAAAGTGCGGCAACATGAAAGTGGAAGCAGAGCTCTGAAAAGACAGATACTTTTCTGCAAATGTGTCAATCTTGCTTGCTTGAACATATTTACAGAGGGATCTGTTCCCAAACTCCAGGGTCCAATAATATATATATTGATGGTAATAATACACTTCATACAATAATACAAATCATACACTTTCCCAATAATGCTTTTTTCATATTCTTCCGTTTATTTTCTTGTGCAAAACAGAGATGATCTGAATCTAAGCAGAGGCACTTGTTTACTTCACTTCAAAAATAGAAAAATGGACACTCACTCTGAACCCCTCAAATGTCGATAAAATAGAAGCTGGAAAAACCTTTAAATGTTCTAATTTAACCTAACACTTCCACATGTTTTATATTGCACTGTGAAGGGTTCTAAATATGAAGATAGTGCACTTTCAGAGTCAGGTCTCCCTGATTTAACCTTTTAGATCTATATGAGACCAGCAGCTCTGCGCTCTGTTCCTCTCATGCCAAAACTGAGTGTTGTTTGAGTCTTTGAATAAGCATTAGAATGTGAATACATCTACACTCCACACTAGGCTCATCAATGAATTATGGCCTAGTACTTGCTAAAAGATACCACCATGTGAGATGTGCTTAGCTGATGAAAAATTACATCAACATCAAAGAAATGTTCCTAAAAGAGCAAGTTTAGAAAAATTAATATTTGATAATCCTCAAACCCTGCATAAGTACACAGGGAATGAGTGCCTGATAATCTCTTAAGAATATTAAAAGCTCTAATACGCCATATTTACTGATAATGGGAATTTTAAAAAGCATATAATATGAATTTAAAGAATGCATGGCAATACAATTTGTGTGCAGTGGTTTAGTGGTAGTTGATAAGATTAATTTCTAAAAGTACTTAGTACATGGACAAAGCAGCTCTCTTCAGCACCTGGTGGTTATTTTTTACTGCTGAGATGAGAGCAAGGAGGTCATAACCTTATGATAATTTCATAAATACATGAGCAGTCTGTCCTGTGTTATCCTGTTATTGCAGGGATGACAGAGACTGACACAAATTAGCATATTGGAATTTATCATTCAAAGTGTAACTTTCTATACACCTTGAATATAGCGTATGGTAAAGTTTAACTTCTTAAACCTTAACTTTTACAGTGGTCTGCAAAAGTTTGGGCAACCTTGTTAATTTCAATGATTTTCCTTCATAAATCGTTGGTTCTTAGGATAAAAAAGATCAGTTAAATATATGATATAGGAGACAAACACAGTGATATTTGAGAAGTGAAACGAAGTTCATACCATTTACAGGAAGTGTGCAATAATTGTTTTAACAAAATTAGGCATGTGCATAAATTTGGGCACCGTTGTCATTTTACTGATTTCAAAATCTTTAGAACCAATTATTGGAACTCAAAATTGGTTTGGGGAGCTCAGTGACCCTTGACCTACATACACAAGGCGAACCCAATTATGAGAGAGTATTTAAGGGGGGGCAATTGTACGTTTCCCTCCTCTGTGAATCTTCTCTGAAGAGCAGCGACATGGGAGTCTCAAAAGAACTGTCACATGACCTGAAAACAAAGATTGTTCACCAACATGAATTAGGGGAAGGATCAGTTGTCTGTTTCGACAGTTAGGAACATAGTCAGGAAATGGAAGACCACAGGCACAGTTCAAGTTAAGGCTCCAAGTGGCAGACCAAGGAAAATCACGGATAAACAGAAGCGAAGAATTGTTAGAACAGTACAGGCTAGCACCAAAGACATTCAACATGATCTTGCTGCAGATGGAGTCATTGTGCACTGTACAACTACTGCGCAAACTTTACACAAGGAGATGCTGTACGCAAGAGTGATGCGGCGGAAGCCTTTTTTCCTCCCACATCACAAACAAAGCCGCTTGAGGTATGCTAAAGCACATTTGGATAAGTTGTAATAAGGTGCTGTGGACTGATGAAACTAAAATGTAGTTATTTGGACATAACAAGGGGCGTCATGCATGGAGGAAAAACAACACAGCATTCCTAGAAAAACACCTGCTGCCTACAGTAAAACTTGGTGGTGGTTCCATCCTGCTGTGGGCCTGTGTGGCCAGTGCAGGGACTGGGAATCTTGTTAGAGTTGAGGGACGCATAGATTCCACCAAATATCAGTAGATTCTGGAGACCAATGTCCAGGAATCAGTGACAAGGCTGAAGCTGCGCCGGGGCTGGATCGTTCAATAGGACAATGACCCTAAACACTGCTCAAAATCTACTAAGGCATTCATGCAGAGGAACAAGTACAACGTTCTGGAATGGCCATCTCAGTCCCAAGATCTGAATATTATTGAAAATCTGTGGTGTGACTTAAAGAGAGCTGTCCATGCTCGGAAACCATCAAACCTGAATGAATTAGAGGTGTTTTGTAAAGAGGAATGGTCTAAAATACCTCCAACCAGAATCCAGACCCTCATAGGAAGCTATAGGAAGCGTTTAGAATCTGTTATTTCTGCAAAAAGGGGATCTACTAAATATTGAGTTATTTTTTTTACTGTGGTGCCCAAATTTATGCACATGCCTAATTTTGTTTAAACAATTATTGCACACTTCCTGTAAATGGTATAAACTTCGTTTCACTTCTCAAATATCACTGTGTTTGTCTCCTATA